TACTATTCATGTGCCGTAAAATCGATAAAATATCCTTTAAGCATAAAAAAAAATTTAAACTATTATATATATTCATTGAAGTTTCTAAGGATTATTTCACACCCTTAAAATATGTTTCCCTTGTGTTTAATATTAAAATTTTATTTAATTTCAATTTCAGCGAGTACTAGGTTATTATAGATATTTTATTTAGTTAATAAAGATGCATTTATTGAATGACTGAGCGCGATTAAAGGTTTAAGTCCTTAATTGAAATAATTAAGAAACCTTAAGGACTTGAATAACTTTAAGATTGGCTTAGATGAGGGCCAAATTGATGGAAAATGTAAAATTAAAGACCGAAATTACATGATCAATTGCAAGGATTGGAGGTTGAGGACTAGGGTATTAAATACTAGCAAAATGAAGGATGCCCTAGTTGAACTAAAGGGATAAAAAGAGGTGGAAAAATATAAAAATCAAAATTTTTAAGGGAGAAAAAAAGGGAGGGAGAAAACCGAAAAGAAAATGGTGAAATAAGAGAGACAAAAACCCTAAATCAAAATAGGCAAAACTTTACCTATCCAAATCCATCCCTCTCAATTAGTTTAACCCACTTAAAAACACCTTAAATTGGCCTCCAATCCATCTTAGAAGATCAAGCATGGAAAAATGAATAATTTCTCAAATTTGGTCGAATTTTAAAGGGAAGGAGAAGGAAGAGGCAAAGGGGAAAATGAAAGAAAAAGGCTAAATTCTAAGTGAGGTAAGTATAATTCCTCACCTACATTAGAGGAATTTATGTTTTGAAGGATAATTAGTGATAATTTAGGGTTTATTGATGAAGGGTTAGTTAATATTTATCGAGGACTATGTGAAATGGTTGAATTACAATGATCTTGTGATGTATATGTTTTTGTAATGTAAGGAGATGATACTAAAATATTTGAATTATGTGAATGTTTTTGTTTGAACAATGTCCTCGTTCCATAACAAGGTGGATAAACAATCCTTAAGTAAGTATAAATTGGAGGTTACCATGTCCAATGCCTACCAAATGTTTGATGAAATGTCTAAGAGACATTCCTAAGGCTAGAATGAAAGAATGAGAATTGTCCTTCACTTAGCTCAAATTTGGCTAAGTATGAATAACAAGGTCAAAGAGGAAAATGTTAGATGTGAGGTTTAGAGGTATGAATGACATGAATATGATCATGTACATGTATAAGATGAATGTTTATGGTGCTCATGATGATTGGCTATTATATGATGTTTTCCATGTTATGGATTGTCCATGAGATGTTTTATATTGCATGCATATTTTATTATTTGGAACATGTAAATGAATTATAATATTTATACATGTTCTTAAGGATGTAGTGGTATACATGCCGAGGTTATGTTTAATGCAATGCATTTCATTCAAATACATGTACATCATTATTCTAAAAGAGGAATTTTATTCATGATTTTGATGAAAGGAAAAGGAAAAGGTTTTTATGAAAGAAGAAAGGAAAAAGGTTTTCATGATTTTCATGGTTTTTCATGAAAATGTCATTTCTTCGTCGAGGGATTCGATAAAGGCCTCGTAGTTGGAGGATTTGGTGAAGGCCTCAATTGAAGAAATCGACCAACTTCCTTATCGAAAGATTCGATAAAGGCCTTGACGATTAAGGGATTTGGTGAAGGCCCCAACCGAAGAAATGATAAGGAAAACTGTGCCCCCAAAAAGAAAAAAGAAAAGGAAAAAGAAAAATGTTTCAAAGGCATGAAAAAGGATTTTTATGAAAAATGCATCATATGCATTCACACATAATGGACATCACATGCATTGCATGAATTATACTTATTGAGGATCCTTTTGCTCATTATTGTTTTCTTATGGTATAGGAAATGATAAAGACAAATAAAGGGTCACTTGTCGAGACAAATGACGAACTTGCCATTTTGTGTGCTTAGGCTTGGGTAATGAGTATGGGAATGTTGTATGGCTTAACTTGATTTTTGATATATATATATATATATATCAAGTTAGGCATTTTGGTATACATGTAAACCAATTAACCAATTATTTTTTTAGTGTAAATGAAAGTATTAATTGAAGGTTAAGTTGTTATTATGTCAAGTTTGTTGGTTGTAACTTATGGGTGCATAAATGACTAATATGATTAAGATTGTACAATTGATGGGATTACAAAAATGATTGCTAATCAAAATGACAAGTAAGAAGATTAGGTATGGATGTTAAAGGTAAGATAAAAAGAAAATGAAATGGTTAAATGATTAGAAAAAGGTTCAAATGAAATTAGTAATGTGTTTAATCAAACCTAAAGGTAGGAAAATGAAAGAAAAATTTATACTCAAAATTAGGTTTTAAGAGGACCTACTATCCTATACTCATTAGGGACCTTATGAATGATTAAAGGCCCACGTCCGTCAATGCATTAGATAGGATATAGGAGAAGGCTTCTTAGTCTACATTCATTGTATGCGAATGTAGGTCAAAATCAATAATACCCTCAACCAATTTAGGTTATAGGGTAAGGGCGTTATAGCTTGGGCTTGCTTATGCCGGTCCGCACACTAGGCCAAGCTCACTTGCTTGGGCTTGCTAGTCGTGCTTAAGTCTTCCTCTCTAGGCTTGTGCAACTCTCTAGCCCATGAGAAAAAAATTAAATAAAAAAAAGAACCTATAACTTTTGGCGAACTTAAGTTCACTCAAATTTTTGTTGAAAAATCACAAGTCTAGTTTCAAATCTTAAAAAAACACATTTTGACATTATTTGTTTTCTTAAACACCTCAAAAAATGATTGAAATAAGGTTAATAAACTTGTTTTAAACCTTAAAAATCATCTTAGCGTACATTAAAAACATAAAAATTAAACAAAATCAAATAGAAAAATTCAATTTTTTAAACTCTTAATCTCCATTCTCTAATCATTTGATGATCTGAAATCATTATAGATAAACTCTTTTCTTTAAGATAAACAATATAAATACAAGATCGACACTAAAAGTAGCTATAATTGGACTTGATCATAGCTCTCTCTCCTTGTTTCTCTTTCCTCTCTGCACCTAGAAATCAAAGTTTATTGAAAATGAAGCTATGGATCAAAACAAAAAATGTAAAAACATGAAATATTAAAATGTAAAATTATCCTTCAACAGTACTTATAGTGTCATGCTTGAGTCCACGATGGTACTGAGTCTTAAACTATAGTAAACTTACTCAACAGTAAACCCTCCGAATTTTTTGGAATTTTTTTTTAATATACCGGAAAAGGATAAAATAAATAAAAAGAATAAATCTTGTATATTGAAATACTTAAGCAGCGAGATACGTGTTGAAACAGTGGCATGGACAGCAACCATAACGACCCTTGACAAGCCACATGTAAGATACGTGTCGAGAGAATAATACGTACGCAAAAGACCATCTGGATGGAACCAGCCTAGCTAGAAAGTCTCGTGTCATATCATGTGCGTTTCTCCTTTCCGTTTTTTGTCTAGGATTTGATGGTAGTGGCAGCGAAGATGGAAACTATATATTTGACTCAGACGTTACTTTGTGTTGGGTCCCAATTTGCCAGAAGATAAAAATGGCTGTGCTCTTAAACTGCAGCAGCTAGCGCCATGGTTAGATACCTGATAATGAAGCAAGCTTAATTTAGCTTCTTTTTCCTTCCATTATGCTTTATGGCCGCGCAAGTTTTCTCAACGCTAAATTTGACAAGACTGTGAAGATCTACACAACTGCCGTTCTTTTCTACTATTTTCAGTAAGGTACTCAGTATCAATCAATATTATTATATATTATCGTGCATGCCATCTCCTTTAATTATTTTGCGTTTCTTGTTACAAATTTTGAGCAATTGATCTCTTTTTTTTGGTTTATGTTTATATATATATATATATATATATAATTGTTTTCTTTCTGTAACTTTAAAATATGAAATTATCCAACTATCAATCAAGTAAAAAAAAAAAAAGAAAACTTTCCGCAGGGTTAACGATACACTGGTACATTTGGACCTTTGGCACTCAATTCCTACATAAATTTATTTTTTTCGTTAATATGATCCAAGTATTCCTTGTTCTACTGCTAATAGGACATATAAGTGAAGGAAGAATGAGTTTCTCCTCCTTTTTCTTTTTTAATTCATGATTTTACTTTTGTTTTTTAAATAGTTTATTCTTTGTGTTTCTTTAATAATATTATTGGCATAAACTAAATTTATATTGATAACAGAATATGTATAGGAGGGATTATTATTATAGTAAGGAAAGAAAAAGAGAAAGAGTAACCATACGAATTAACTCATCATCGGCATATCTATAATTTTGTACTCCCAGCAGCGTGCCAATATTTAGCAATCTCTCATCTTCTTAATTATGATTTATGTCCGTCGTTCTATCTTATACGTAAAGCACGTGCCTACAATTGGAAATTGATAAAAGTCATCTTGTTATTTTATATTATGAATTGGAGTTCCTTAAAATTACAATTTACGTGCCTTTGTAAAATTTTCGAAAGCTTGGAACCCAAAATATGCTTCCGACAAAAAGGAAAATTAATTGAATTTCAATTTAGTACTTCATGCATAATACTTTTTTTTTATTGCTTTTTTTTTTTTTTAATGATGATATTTCTATTTAGAACAAAAAGGGGTTTACATGAGTAAATGATTTAACCACCTTCTCCATAAATTACAAGTTAAAATTTTACTCCACCCATAGGAGACACTGTAGTTTTTTTTTATTATTATTATTATTTTGATGAATAGCCTCACCATGTTTTTGCCAATAAATTTGAGAGTTAAGCTCGCACCCATGTCCTTTTCTTCGGTCCGAACTTCGACTTTCTAACCAGAAAATTACCTCTGTATACGTATTCACATTTTACACTAATTAGTTCGCGGCCCTTGACAATATTTTCTCGCTTGTTCACCTTCAATGTTTACAGGTCCACTCAGAGGACACAATAATTAAGAAGAAAAAGATGCTGGTAACAGAATCAGAAATGAACTCACAAGGTGAGGTCGAATCGCCATTACAAATGGACCAGCAACCTCCCAAGAACCATCCATTCTCGTCTATTGGCAGACAATCCTCTATTTACTCCCTCACTCTAGACGAGTTCCAGCACTCTCTTTGTGAGAATGGCAAGAACTTCGGTTCAATGAACATGGACGAGTTTCTTACCAGTATCTGGACTGCCGAAGAAAATCAAGCCACGGCCACTGCTGCCAACGCAAGCGGTAACAATCAAATCATCATCAACAACAATGGAAGCCAGGTTTTAAATGATCCGTATGGTCATAGAGGCATATCTAAGCAGCCCAGTTTGCCTAGACTAGGATCACTCACTTTGCCAGCACCACTGTATAGGAAAACAGTGGATGAAGTTTGGTCTGAGATTCATAACGAGCAGAGCAGTGGTAGTGAAAATGGTGGCGGTAATGTGCACAACTCCAAGACTGCCCCTCGTCAACCGACTTTTGGAGAGATGACGCTTGAGGATTTTCTGGTCAAGGCAGGGGTAGTGAGGGAACAATGTACTGCGCCATTTCATCAACAACATCATGGGTTGTACAAGACTAACAACAATAACCCGGGTGCAGCAACAGGTTTCGGGGATAGACCTATTCTGGGCTTGGCTGCGGGTGGCGGAGCAGCTGGTGGTGGTGTTATACATCAAGGTGTTGCACCCATAGGAGGGTCATCTGGCAAGAATGGTGGTTATGAGCTGCCAGTGGCATCGACAGCAGCTGTTTATGCTGGGAAAGCAGGGAATGGTGGTGTATATGGACATGGTCATGGAGTGGGAATGGTTGCACCAGTGAGTCCATTGTCATCAGATGGAATGGTTACTAATTTTGATAATTCACGAAATCAGTTCGGGATGGATATAGGGGGGTTAAGGGGACGGAAGAGGATTATTGATGGGCCGGTGGAGAAGGTGGTGGAGAGGAGGCAACGGAGGATGATCAAGAATAGAGAGTCTGCTGCGAGGTCTAGAGCTAGAAAACAGGTACTACTACTTGTTTACAACTTCTGGATATTGATAGACTTAAAGCATTAATATACGTACGCCCTTTAAATATGTATTTTGATTTTGTTGACTGCTAGATTATAATGCCATGAGGATTTTCGGCGTTTTCTTCGCAAATGTTTTTACAAAACATGTATGTAGCTTGAAATGAATGCACAGGAATTTTTGATTAATCCCTGTCATGTTAAATGTGTACCGAACAATTCACAACTTCTCGTTCTGTTTAATGCATACACCAATTATTTTACAACTGGTTCTGCATGTCTTACGTATGATATGCCATTGACATTTCAAGTAGGTTTTTATTATTATTATTATTATTATTATTATATTCGGTGAAAATGAATTTAGATTATAAACAGAGCCACGTAGTTGATGGGGAAAAAAAGAGGTAAAACAATAGGATTATAGCCAAATAAGATAACCTCTCTCTATCCACTCTTAGATTTCAAGTAGTTTCATTCTGTAGTGTCTTACCTATCATATGCATCCATATACGGAGGACAAGAAGGTAGTGGCAAGTTGCATTGACATTTCAAGTAGTTGCAATTGCTTATTTATCGAATGATTGTACAAGTATAATATTGAGTTAATGACTAACAATTCTTAACTCATCAATCTCTCAAGTTTTTGCCCTTTCAGTAAATTCTTTTGAACAATAAATTAAAATTTAATAATGAGAAGGCTTAAGGCCATGCAATGGAAGAGAGAGGATATAATTTTCTATTAGAATTCTTATTAGCTTTGATCTCTTCAGCGATTAGGAAGGTTGTCTGCTGACACCTCTCTGTTTCGCAGTTGGGATCATTTAGGCTGATCGTCTAGGCTGTCATGCTTTTATCTGTCGCTACATATGTCACTGGAATATTTCTTGATCAGCATGCAACAAAGCAATTGGAACTCAACGAAAAGTGTGGGTGATTGTTAGAAATTAATAATAGTGTTTTTCCAATTACATTTTAGGCAGAATGGTGTACTTTCTAAATGAAGACAGTAGAACAAGTTGATTAGGCAACACTGAAACGGTAAGAATGCACCCCGTAATCAAGAAAATACGAAGCCCAGGTGCATCTAACTTTTTGTTAGAAATCTAGGGGAGCTGATATGGAGTTGATTTATGTATTTTTTATAAGCACTTAATTTATCTTGTAATCGCAGGGATTTGATTAGATCTTCATCTGGTTTAAATTTTGTGACTCCTCCGTCTTGGAATTCCCTAAGCCCTTTTTTTTTTTTTTTTTTTTTTAATGATTTTGTCTCTTTGCTTCACTAAAGTTTGCTTCCAGTGGATACATACTCTTCAGTCTTCAACATAGCTTCACATATATTATTATTATTACAATTTTGTCTGTATTACAGGCGTATACAGTTGAACTAGAAGCTGAATTGAATCAATTAAAAGAAGAGAATAAGCAGCTTAAGCATGCTATGGTATTTCGTCACTACTCGTCTAGTTCTCGCATGGTTATTATATGATGTTACTTTTGTTACCCTAATTTATGGTAGTATTAATCTCATTTGTGAGCAGGCTGAGCATGAAAGGAAAAGAAAGCAAAAGGTAAATTAAAGCAATTCTATTATGCTTAATGCATGAAGGGTATGATTTGAGCATCTCGTCACGATTCTGTAGCTAGGAGTTTAATCTATTTTAGTTCAGTTAAATTCATTTTACGACAAATAAGAAGAGGCTACTTAGGCATGAACGGATGGTTGCCACATGCTCCTTAATATGCAATTTTATCGAGTAGTTGTGATGACACAAGACATTGTTTTGATTCTATTACTAGTTATGATTAACAATTTGATATAGACCAACGGATCTTGAAATTCATAAAATGGTATGAGAACAAGTAAAAGTTAAAAAAAAGCTATCAATCTAATTCTAAGGTTTTTTAAGTCTATTTTGATATCAAATAGGCCAACGAGGCAAAACTCATGTGCAATACTCATGATGTAGGGGTGATTTAAAAAAAAAAAAAAAACTATTTTAGGCCTTTAAAATCTACTCTTATTGTTTTTTCAGGATTTTTTTTTCTCATTTTTTGGATTTTGTATTTATTTTCCTTTTGAGTTAGTTTAGGATTTCATGAATTTTGTCTATTTATGTATAACTTGGAGGTAAAAAAAATACAGCTTTCTTTGATTAATAAAATTTTATGAGAAAGTATTTCAAGTTTATCCTAATTTTCAACATTCCTAAAATCAATATAATTTAAAACCTATTTTCCGATATTTGTATACAATTCAATAGGTTGTAATAAACCGATATCCGAATTTCAAATTAACGGTGTTTTTTTTCTTATAAGCTTTCGCTACATCACAATTCCTATCAATAATTAATATGTTCTTTTTCTTTCATTTTTCCAAATTCATGATGGGGAAATCTTAAAATACTATCCTACTTTTGGCCGTTCTTGATGTTGTTCCATTACTTTTTTCATTGTAATATAAATTTTAGTTGCAGTATTTTGAGGAATTGAGAATGAAAGCTCGCATGAAGGCCCATAAGCCTATAGAGAAAATGAAGTTGATGAGAAGGAATTTGAGTTGTCCGTTGTAACGGCAAGTGAGAGTTTAATCTGAGATCTAGTTTTTCAGTATTGTTTTACATCTTCTAGAGTTCTAGTTCTTATTTGATTCTAATTTCTATCCTTTTGCATTACTGCAGAATTTCGAGGTTTTTAAATTTGAGGGATGCACCAAGATTCAAAACATTCCCACTACAAAGGACAGTGAGGGCGATGACAAGAATTTGTCTTGCTAACGGAAATCAGGAGGGGAGAGAGAGAGAGAGAGAGAGCAGCTCAGCACTGGCACGGAATAATATATATATATATATATAAACGCTATGATCTGAATAAGTTTCGTTTGTACATTTGTAGTTGCATTGGCGTAGCGTTAACGCAAATTTGTGTTGCGGAAGGTATCCAAGAGCGCATGTATAGACATAAAAGTTATAGTATACGTCCTATATTTTATAATTTGAGGGGTTTTTTTTTTTTTTTTTTTTTTTTTTTTAAAAAAAAACAAATTTTGCGTACTATTATATAGAATTGACGTATAAAATAATTATTTCAAATTATTGATACCTATGTAGAGTAGGATTTGTTCAATGAGAATTATTTCAAATTAAAGTATGGTTCATTTGTACTTTATTTTTTTTAGATAGCAAGTTGAGATTATTTTAGAAGATTTTACAAATTTTCTAGTTTTGGATTTTTCTTATTTAGTCTTTGCACATAGGGTTTTTGAGAACTTATTAGATAATTGGTCTACATGCCTCTCAAAATACGGAGAGCTAGTATTGTAATTTGCTTTTGCTTGTTAAGAGCTAGTGTTGTGATTTGTAAAAATAATGATCAACTAACCAAACAAAAAGAATACAAATAGTGAAAAGCATGTGAGGAAAAGTAAGTAGTGCTAGTAAAGTGCAAATTAGGTGGCCAATATATGGGTAGTTAATATCCAAACAAATAAAGTTTTAAGTATTGTCTCGGTGTGTGAGTATGAGAGTTTTGCAATAGAGATTTCAAGAGTTTTCTTTACTAGGGGTTTTCTTTGCTAGAGATTTAGAGTTTTGAAGTTAGAAGTTTCTAGTGTGAAAGTTCTTATCTCTCATAATGATGTGAGATTCATATTTATAATGAAAGAAGATGGTCCTTAGTTACTAGGATTATGCCATGTCATCTAAGTTTGGATGGTTATATTTGGCTTGAAGACGTTAGGTCCTTGAAGCTAAACTATTTCAACTTGTTAATACATGTTAAAAGAAATAACAATTGGATCTTCATTTGGAAGACCCTACAACTACCAAAAAATACCAATTAGCGACGGATTCGCGACGGACTATAAAAGGTTGTGTTTTACGATGGATTAGCGACGGTTAAAAATCCATTGCTAAATAAGGCGAAGAAAAACGAGTGCCAAAATCAACGATGGATTAGCGATGGCCTTGTGATCGCTAAATGAAAAAATTAGCGATGAAATTTTTTTCATTGCTAAAATTTTCATAATTTTGTGAAGTTAGAGATGGATTTTGAAATCTCTATCTAATCTTGACATAAAAAAGCCAAAATTAGCGATGAACATCAAGTTCGTTGCTAGGTAGCAATGGACATGATGTCCGTCGCTAATCGTTGAGATTTTGGAGGGAAATTTCCCCCAAAATCCCGGCCAGGTAGCGACGGACTTAGCGTCCATTGCTAATCGGTGGGATTTTGGGAGGAAATTCATCGGTACTCGATCGACGTTTAGCAACGGACTCGACGTCCGTCGCTAAAAATCAAGAATTTAGGGGGAAATTTCTCCCCAAATTAGCCACGGACCGTAATCCGTTGTTAATCGGCGATGGAATCGAGTTGTCGCTATTTTGCCTTTATATCTCCCCCGTCTTCTTCTCCATTTGCTTCCCTCACATCCACCATACCTCCTCTTTTGTCATTGTCCATAAAAACACCCACCCATGCCGCCCCACACCACTAAATCTTTTTCAAAATCGTTCAACAAAGTGAAGGTATCTTTCTTCCTCAAAATCGGATCGGATCCGTGTTCTCTATCCTTGATCTATCGGATAAAACTTTCTCTCTCTAACTTTTTTTTTAATTAGATAAATGTTATAAATTTTTAGTTAAATTTTGTTATTTGTTAGTTTATTAATTGTTTGAATGTTGTTAATTATCTTATTATGTTAATTTTTTGTTATGTTAAGTTGTATGTAGTAGTTTAAATTTGTTAGTTGTTATTTTATTTTTATAATTGCTAGATTAATTTTGTTAAGTTTTATATTGTTATTATGTCAATTGTTAAGTTAATTTGTATGTTAACGTAAACCTTAAAAATTTAAATTTTGTTAATTTTGAGTTGTTAGATTAAAATTTAATTATTTAATCTTAAATTGTTATTTTAATTAAGTGAATTAATTATATATTTCTTTGTTTTTAGTGTTAGGTTAATTTGGTTAGTTGTTTGTTTAAAGTTAATTTTGAAATTATATAATTTTTTATGTAGTTTAATTAAATTTGGTTGAAATTATATACTTTTTAATGTAATTTAGTCATTTTGAATGTAAAATTTTTTTAAGTAATGCCATTAGTTTAATTATTAAAATTGAAATAAGATAACTTGTATAATGATTTAATCATTTAAAAAAAATTGAATAAAAATGTAATAAAAAAATTAAAAATAAATGTTAAAATTTTATAAATATTTTATTAATTAATAGAATTAAGTAAATATTTTATTTAGGGTTTAATTAAAATAAATTTAGTTGAATATTTTCATAAATTAATTAGATCATAATGTAATTTAACGTTTTTAGGTTCAAAAAATATAAACTTTCATGTATTGTAAATGAAAATGATAATGTAATTACTTTAAATTACCTAAGGTAGTTTAAATTAGGTTAAATGTTTGGTTTATGTTAGGTTTACGTTATTATATATTGGACCTAAGGTAAAAAATATAAAAACATTACACTAAAAATAATTGAATATTAAAAAATTAAGTATTTATTAAAAAATGTAATCATTATTTAAATAATCATTTAAATAAGAAGTCAAATTCTTAAATAAAATTCATATCTAATTAGAGACAATTATACAAGTAATATATGCATTTAATATTTATTTAAAATTGTTAGGAATAATGATAACTAATTGTTTGCAATGGTTGTGTCATTTTTGCGGTAGTTATAAAAATGAGAGCCGATCAACAATGGATGAATTTTAGATTAGTTAATGGATTATTAAATAATGACTTTGTCGAAGGGGTAGAATAATTTTTATCTTTTGTCTGTTGAGCATCCCGAATGTATAGACGGAACCAAAATTAGGTGTCCTTATAATTTCAATAAGTGTCGAAATCAAAATTATGAAGAGATTGCCGCTGTCAAATATCATTTGTGCCGTAAAGGTTTTGTGTCGGGATATTATGATTGGGTGCATCATGGTGAATTTGAAACCTATATGACATCCGAAAATTCTAGGAGTCGGCATGTTTCTAAAAATTATTATATAGGCGAAGATAGTTCTAGTGAACGCTAAAACCCATATCAAAGTATGGTAATGGATGCGACCGATCCATCCTTTGATCCATCCAATGCGAAGAAGGCTCCTAATCCTAGTGCCCAACATTTTTATGATATATTGAATGCATCATATAGAAAGATTTGACTCGGTTATAATGAACATTCACAATTGTCGGTAGTTGCTCGAATGCTTAACCTAAAAGCCGATTATCATTTTTTAGAAAAGTGTTTCGACCGGTTATGTGAGCTGATAAAGGATTTGATGTCGGTTGATAATCGCATAACTTTTATGAAACAAAAAAGCTGGTCGAGGGGATGGGTTTATCGGTGAAAAAATTCATTATTCTCGTAACGGATGCATAATTTATTAGAAGGAAGACAATGAATTAGATAAATGTAGATTTTGTCAACATCTTCAATATCAAAGTTTACGTCGAGCATCAAAAAGAGAAAAACTTGTTCCAAATAAGAAAATATACTACTTTCCTCTAACCTCGCGTGCACGGTGATTGTATGCATCGAATGCGAAAGCCGAGTGCATGACGTGACATGCTGAACATGGGGTAGATGATGTAGGAGTAATGTGTGATCATTCTGATTCCATTGCATGGCAAAGTTTCAATCGGATTAATCTTCCTTTAGTAGTTGAAATAAGGAACGTCCGATTATGAGTGTGCACCGATAGATTTCAACCATTTGGTCAATCCGATATGCAATATTCCTCATGGTTAATCATTATGACTCCATACAATTTGCCATCATGGATGTGCATGAAGAAGGAATATATGTTCCTAACGAGTGATTGCTTCGAGTCCAATAAATCCAAAACATAAGTTAGACGTTTACTTTCAGCCTTTCATATATGAGCTTATCTCATTATGGGAGGTAGGTGTTGTGACCTACGATGTATACCATAAGCATAATTTTTTATTGAGAGTCTGTAGTTATGTGAAATATCGGTGACTTTCCTCCATATTTGATGTCTGTCGATTGGAGTACTATAGGAAAACAAGCTTATCTTTATTGTATGAAAAATTTAGATGCTTTCTTCCTTCTTAATGGAAGGAAGACCTTCGGTTTAACAACCATCAAAAGTTTCTTCCTTATAATCATCCATATAGAGAAACAAGAAAGCCTTCACCACCAAAACAGTTGTTAAATGCGGTTCTGCTCCAATCCGATCTAGAATAGAGAGCAATGGAGGTTATTGAAGGTGATAGAAGATGGTGCGGATGATCATAATAATAGAATCTCTCGGATGTCCAAATGGAGGAAGCGAAGTATTTTTTGGATTTTCCTTCCTAGAGTACAAATCTCATTCGAAATAATTTAGATATCATGCATATTGAGAAAATATATGTTTGATAACATTTTTAATACAATCATGAATGTGTCGGGAAAAAATAAAGACAATGCCAACTTTAGAGAAGACTTGAAATTCTTCCGTAAAAGGCTAGAATTAGCAAAGGAAGATGCATTTAGAAAGTATCCTAAAGCTACGTTTACTCTGTGTCGAAAAAATAAAAAAAAAATTA